CAGCCTGGGGTAGACCAGCGTGGCTTGGCCCAGCCTGGGGTAGACCAGCGTGGCTTTGAGCAGCCCTGGGTAGACCAACGTGGCTTGGTACAGCCCGGGGTAGACCAGCGTGGCTTAGTGCAGCCCGGGGTAGACCAGCGTGGCTTAATGCAGCCCGGGGTAGACCAGCGTGGCTTAATGCAGCCTGGGGTAGGCCAGCGTGGCTTTGTGCAGCCCGGGGTAGATCAGCGTGGCTTTGTGCAGCCTGGGGTAGATCAGCGTGGCTTTTTGCAGCCCGGGGTAGACCAGTATGGCTTAGTGCAGCCCGGGGGAGTCCAGCGTGGTTTGGTCCAGCCCAGGGGAGTCCAGCGTGGCTTGGTGCAGCCCGGGGTAGACCAGCGTGGTCTGGTTCAACCTGGTGTAGACCAGCGTGGCTTAATTCAACCTGGTCCAGGCCAACGTGGCTTAGTCCAACCTGGTATAGACCAGTTTGGTCCGATTCAACCAGGTGTAGGTCAGTTTGGTTTGGCTCAACCTGGGGTAGACCAGCGTGCCTTACTTCAACCTGGTGCAGATCCACGTGCTTTGATACAGCGTGGCTTTGTGCAGCCTGGGGTAGACCAGCGAGGCTCTGCACAGCCTGGGGTAGATCAGCGTGGCTTTGCACAGCCTGGTGTAGGCCAGCGTGGTCTGGTTCAACCTAGAGTAGACCAGCGTGGTTTTATTCAACCTGGTGCAGCCCAGCGTGGTATGGTGCAGCCTGGTGTAGACCAGCGTGGCTTAGTCCAACCTGGAGAAGGCCAGAGTGAATTTGTGCAGCCTAGTGCAGACCAGCATGGCATGATGCAGCCTGGCCCGGGGCAGCGTGGCTTGGTGCAACCTGACTTATATCTACCTGGGCCACTGCAAGTTGGCGCCTATCCTCCTGGCCTGATCCAACCTGGTGCCTATCCACGCGGTTTGGCACCCCAAGGACTTTATCGACAAGACTTTTTACCACTTCACACTGACTCTCGAGGCATTCTACCATTACCAGGAGATTCTCCAAGTCTGATATCATCAAACCTATATCAGCAGGAAGTGGCACCTCCTGGCAGAGACCATGTGTCACCACTCCAAGCTCGGCCAAGTTTGCCATTGCTGGGAACAGACCACGATGATTTGTTGCTACAGCCAGATCAACAGCATGCGCTGTTTCCTGGCCCAGGACGCTTGCGTGAAGAGGGGTTCAGTGAGGGAGGTCTGTATCCCAGGGGAACGGATTTCGGAGCTCAATTTGGGACAGGGCTGCTTCAACAAGGCGAGGAGCCCACCAGGAGAGACCGTTCTGGCCTCCTCTACCAAAGCCTATCAGACATGATCGAGGACTCAAGTGAACAAGAGCACCAGGATTCACTGGATAAGTTGAGTCCAAGCTTCCCCATTGCAGTGGAGACGTTTCGCCTGATGGGAGAAGTCGTTGCCCTCTATTTGGAGCTCAAGGATTATATAAGGGATGTGGACGAGGAGCAAGCGGGCCAGACAGACTTGGAAAAGATCCAGTATGTGATTGCACAGATGGGTGAGTACAAGGTGTACACGGAGGGGACGCCACGATCTCGGTCGTGAGCTGGTGGCTGGGTCCCTTTCCTCCTCCTGGCTGCTGCTCGAATCCCTGAAGACAGGGTGTCCATTGGCGGGCACGCCGGGTTCTCCTGTAGCTTCCATAGTGGGCACAAGACCAGGGGAAATGAGCTGATGAAGCCCCCCCCCCCACCAGGAGGAGAATGAAGTCGCTCTTTTCTCTTTGATGGACCCTCTGGGTCACAGCAGGGGGGGGTGTGATGGGTAGGGAATGTTGAAGAAAATCATCATGATTTCAGAAGTGGGTGCAAATGGCAGCCCTCCAGGGCATCAGGCCTTAGGTGGGATTGTGATGGGCCAAAGGCAGCCACTTCTGCCCCTCTTGTTTCGGGAGAAGCAACATAAGAGACCTGCCCTATCCCCTGGGCCCCTTCTTGGCTGTTGGAAGTGGGGGCACTGAATATCTGGCCCCTCTGACTATGAACCTCTGTTCTCCATAGTCAAAAAGAGTATATCCACTGACCTGCAGGAACAGATGAAGGGCATAAAGGCCTTAACTAAAGAAATTCGGCAGGAAAAAGCAAAAGTAAGGCGGCATGAGTGGCGGGGGGCACGCAGGAGAGGGGAGGTGGCCCAGCTTGGCCATTTACTGCTTGACAAGCCCTCGCTCATTTCCTTTGGGCTTTGAAGGACCATGCCCCGTTCCATACATTATTCTCTCATCAGATGGCAAATGCTCCGCAGGTATCATGGGGTGTGTTTCCTGGGTCTAAAACCTGATGCTCAGAGCTGTTCCTCTCACTACTTGGGACCATTTACAGCAACCTTGCAAAGGAGGTTGTGGGACTCTATTTTTCTGGGGCCAGGACCTGCTACCTGTTCTTCTTCTTTTTTTTTTAATATAATACTGATTCTTTATTTTTTTAATCATTTTATTGGGGGCTCATACAACTCTTATCACAATCCACATATACATCAATTGTGTAAAGCACATTCGCACATTTGCTGCCCTCATCATTCTCAAAACATTTGCTCTCTACTTAAGCCCTTGGCATCAGCTCTTCATTTTTTCGCTACCTGTTCTTTTAATTCCAACTGTCCACATGGATGAGTAGATGAGTGGGTGGAGATGCATGGAGGAATGGAAGGAAGGGAGGAAAGAGGAAGGAAGAGTGATAGGTGGATAGATGAACAGTGGAGAGGGTGGATGGGTGGATAGATGAACAGTGGATAACGTGGATGGGTGGGCAGGTGGACGGATGGATGGAAGGAAGGAAGAGCAGATAGATGGATAGATGAAAGGTGGGTGGGTGGATGGATGGATGTCAGGAGAACTTGGCTTTTGCCATAGAAAGTTGGATTACAGTTGAGGCATGGGTGGGGGACTTGCGTGGGGTGCATGGACACCTTCCAGAAGTGGAGAACTCAGGCCTGCCGGACTCTCCTTCTCATTGGATTTGTAGGTGGACAGGCTGCAGAGGATCCTGGAGGGTGATGGGGGGAGAGAAAACGGGAAGGAGATGAAAACCGGCCAGCTGAGCTTGCAGCTGGGCATCCTCAGGTAACACTCCCTTGCCACGGGTGGGCAGTGGAATCCTGCTGGCAGCCCCACTGCCCCATCACCATGGAAGTGATAACATAGCCTTTGGCCCACTCACGCCCCTGAACTAGCCACTTCCTTTGACCCGATGGGTGTTGGCTCTTCAGCTTTGCCCGTGTTTCGCTAAAGGCACTCAGGGAGGTTCCCAGGCTCCTAAAGGGGCCCAGCACCTGGGTTCAGGAGACCAAGCAGTCTGGTCCGTAGACTGGGTCTCAGTTGGAGGAGAAGGCTTGCTGGAGCCTTTCAGAGCCCAGTGCCACCTGCTGGAAGCGCTCACGGGGCGCACAGTCCCAGGAGGAGGCAGAACCTCGGACTCCCACGTGTAGGCGGTTGAGAGTGTATCTGTACCCTCCTCCTCCATCCCTGCTGGCCAGACCCAGCACTGGTGGCTCTGTTCCTGGGGCCGGCAGGGAGGCCAGGCAGTCTCTCATATCCTGTATTCTGCAGAGACACGGTGGCTGACATTGAGAAGGAGCTGGCCGACCTGAGGGAGAGCCAAGAGCGGGGCAAGGTCAGCATGGAGCACTCCGTCTCCGAGGCTTCCCTTTACCTGCAGGATCAGGTGAGTCCTGTCCGCTCTTTGGTTTCAGGGACCAGGGCTCTTCTAAGTCCTGATCCGCCCCCCGACCCCGCCCTCCATTCATCAGTGCGTGGAATCCCTCATTCCCCCCATCTTGGGGGTGGAGGGTGACTCTGAATCCACAGGCACCCTCCTCTCCCACAAAATCTTCCAGGTGGTAGTTGTTGGTTTGGTTTTGTTTTCTGACACTGAATTGTCATTCCCATGCAATTCACCTCTTTAAAGAAAACAGGCTGGTTTCCAGTCGATTCAACAAGTCGTACAACTATCACCACTAACTCCTGAATATTTTCATCACCCCCAAAAGTACCCCCGTGTCCCCCAAAGTATCTCCATACCAATTCACTCCCTGCCCGACCCCCAGCCCCTGGCAACTACTCATTTCCTTCCCATCTCTATGGACTGGCCTCATGGGGACACTTCATAGCAGTGGGATCAAACAACAGCTGCTTATCTTTGGTAGAGTAGTTGGTTACACGTTGGGCTGCTAACTGCAAGGTCAGCAGTTCAAAGCCACCCGCCTCTCCTCAAGAGAAAGCTGAGGCTTTCTCCTCCTGTGAAGAGTGACAGTCTCAGAAAGCCACAGAGGCAGTTCTAGCCTGTCCTGTAGGGTCACTAGGATTCAGAATCGACTCGATGGCAGCGAGTTCTTTCATTCACTAGGAAATGACTTCTCAACCTTCCTAAGGCCGCGACCCTTTCGTACGGGTCCCCTGTGGTGGTGACCCCCACCCCACCCATAAAATTATTTTCCTTGCTATTTCATCACTGTCATTTTGCTACTGTAATGAATTGGGCGACCCCTGTGAAAGGGTGGTTCGACACCCCCCCCAAAGGGGTCGCGACCCACAGGTTGAGAACCGCTGACTTCCCGTTTGTGGCTGCACGGAGTCCCACGGTATGGAGACACCACACTGTGCGTCCACGTTGCTCTGCTGCTGGGCCTTCAGGCGGTTTCCCTCAACCACGCGGAACCTCAGGACCAAGCCAGTCCGCAAACACTCTCTCCCCTGCGGCCGTGCTCGTTGTTGGCCGTCCCCCGTTGGAGGACGGGGGGCAGAGCAGGTCACTAGGTTCACAGTCCACAACTCCACACACGGTTTGCTTCCTCTCCCACACTTCAGGGCCCTCACTGCCGCGCCCCTCCTCCCTGTCCTGGGGCAAGTGCGGCGCCTTGGTCACCGACGGGGTGGTCTCAGGTGTGCGCACCTCACTCCTGTGAAGGCACCCCTTAGAGACCTGCCTGTGGTTTGGATGAGCTGTGTGGACTCAAGACTCAGGACTCTTGTCCCAGAGGTCCTGCCAGTCTCCACCGGGCCAGTAAGCAGGCCAGCTTCCCTCCCTGCTTGTGAGTTTCAGTCCACCTTCCCACCTCAGCGATGCCATCGGCCACTAAGTCTTGGATGGGGGCTCTACTCGCTGAGCCCACGCGACACTTCAAGTTCTGAACCAGGCCAGCCGTCCAAACCCTCAGAGAAGGACCAGAGCGGAAAAGCCCTGGGCCATGGGGCTTCATGTCGGGGCCCACTTTGTGCTAGAGGCCACTTTGGGGGTCCCCTCCCACGTGTGCTGAAGCAGTAGCACGTGCCGTGTCATGAGCCTGGACCCTGATGGCCCAGGGCCGGACTTGAGGGGCACTGAATACACAGTAAATGCACCAGTCACAGGCCTGAGCTTAGGCTCTTGCAGGGGCGCAAGCCTGCTTCTTCATGCTGACCCCCCCCTGGGGGATGGGATGGGTGAGGGTCCTTCTATTTCTCGGCTGCTCCGTGTTCTTCAAGGTTGCCTCCAAGGTCCAATTTTGCAGGCAGTGCCCTCCTTTTTCTAGAAAGAACTCGTTGGGCCCTTGGCATCCCTGGGGGTCCTGAGGCATGCTGGCTATAGTATATAGGCCCTCTGGTTGCAAGTAACACATTGCTGGTGAACCCAGGACAGGAGCAGTCTGTGCCCCCGGGAGGGACCTTGGCAGAGTGCA